TCCATCAAAAGAGTTCGGTTACCTGACCATAAACCCAAACCACAATGATGGGTCTCCAGATGGGTCTCTTGAGGAGGTCTCTCTGAGGCAGATGGTGGTCTTCATGGAGGCCCTTTGATTTCCCTTGCTTTGCTGTCTGGTGTCTATGGGCTGGGAGGCCGGGTGGGAAGAGCACTGGGCTGAGTGGGGTGACTGGGGCTTCAGTCAGCAGGTTATAATCTTGGGCAATTAATTTTAACTTTGAGCCTCAGTTTTCTCTTTCAGATCTGAATCTCTTACACTGGAGATAGCGTAGGGCTGAAGGGAGGGAGCTGATTCTATTGGGTTGTCGGAAAAGTCATGACATATTTTTCTGTTTCTTGTTGCAAAAATGCGTCATGACTTTTCCAACAGCCCAATATGTGAATGTGTGTGTGTGTGTCTGTGTGTGTGCGCGCGCGCGCGCGTGCGTGCGTGTGTAGTGAGGAAGACTGTATTTGCTAATAGATTTGCACTCCTAGAAAGAGGAAACCCTGGTCATTGACAAGGGCTTGCCAGCCTGAGAGAGGGATGCAGGTCCAAGAGCGGCACAGACTAGAGTTGTTTGGTCCCTATCTTCACTTCTACTTTTGCTTCTGGATTTCAAGTAAAATTAATTATTTTAATTCAAGAAATATTTTACAATGACTGAACTTTAAATTACATTATAATCTTGTCAGGTCGTATGAAATTTTATTTAGAAGATAAAAGATGTTAGCAGATATTGTATTTGTCCTGGAATTTGAAAGTGAGGCACTCTCTCCTAACCTAATTTCTCTCTCTCAGTATAAAGTGGCTCATGCTTACTCTTATTGGAAAAGATTATGCTTTTTATTTATAGCTGAGAAATAAAGTAAATAATGGATCAAATCCAAACATGTACACAACTACATATTTCAAATGGTTAATTTCTTTAGCAGCAAGTGGGAGCCTCATTTCCTAGTCATTATTTTTGATTTTGTAATTTGGAAAGAGGACAAAATATTAACCAACCAATAGAATATAACTTAGTGATTATTATGTCATGCAAGCTTCCTAAGCTTCAGGTGTCCGTATCTGTAAAATGTCATAAAGCTCATACCATTCATTGTTCATACATGGGAGCTGATGTTATGTCATCCCATGATGAACTCAGCTACCTAACATTTGATTGATGCTTTTAAAAGGACCACGTGGCTCCAAGTTTGCACAGGTTACTGAAGCATCAGTAGCTTCCTGACTCCAAAGGGGGGAGAGGGGAGGGTATGTATTTATTTGAACTTGTTTTCCTAGCAAGAATAAGGAGTTTTGAGTTATATTCTAGAAAAGGATATTTAGCAGGGGGAGGGCCAGATTTCAAGCATATTCATTTCACTCAAAGGATCTCTCTCAAGGGACTACGAATGTATGATTGCGGTCATCTCTGATCAGCTGGGCCAGCTGAACCAGACAAATAGCTGGCTGGCAAGAAATCCGGTTTCCCACTCAGGACCCTTGCAGACTGTTAGAGAACCCGTAGGAGGCTGTTCCTTCTGGTAGTTTTCTCTCAGTCCCTGGGAAACTCAGTAAAAAGTCTGCCTGCACAGATATGCCTTGGACTCCGCCTCTGGCAGTCCATCAGAGAACGAGACTTCTAAGGGCCCTGTTGTAAGAATTTCTGCTGCAGATCACAGAGACTTATGTGCTGGAAACTGATACCAGAAGCACCCCAGCTGGTCTTAACTCCCATGATAGAACACAAGACCAGAGGTGACTTTTTACATAACTGGGTCCCCATCCATTCTATTTTAGATTCCACCTGGATGC